TTTTTGGGGGATCTGTTGTTTTGTCCCATGGAGATCATCATCTTTATTTTTTTAGGACAACTCAGAACTAAATGATCACTCTGCTTCATGTGACAAAAAGCCACAACTAGGTTTTTGGATTCCAGCTGAAAATGTGTCACAAGTTCTTCCAACTTTTAGAATTTTTGAAGTGTAAATGCAATAAGGAAATAAAATATTCAATCGTTTAAGAATTAAAACGCTAGCAGTAGCCTTTAAGCAAACTACACTACAGTTATATTACATGTAATAACTTCCTCAGTTTCCTGTTCTTAGCTGACAGGCGTGGCTGCCACCCATTGGTTCAAAATTTGATGTGTTGTGCTTTCAGAGATGTTCTTCTGCATACCTTGGTTGTAACAAGTGATTACTAGAGGTACTGTTGCCTTCCTGTCGGTTCAAACAAGTCTGACTTTTCTCCTATGACTTCTAGAATCAACAAGAAATTCTAACCCAGATAACTGCTGCTTTCCTCTTTTTCTAACCATTCTCTGCAGACTGTTTGAACAGAGGATCATCTGGACCATGTTCACACGCTTGATTGCTCTGAGTGGCTGTGTGGGTGTTTGCATCAACAAGCAGCTAAACAGGTGTACCTAATGAAGTGAGCAGTGAGCAGAGTTGCATGTTAGAACAATATCTGGTCATTTTAAAGCGAGAGACCTTATTTTATCTACCCACTCCATTCAAGAAAATCCCCTAACTGTGAAACTACACAATTAGTGTAGGATTTATGTGTTTGCATATCACACACTGCATTTAAGAAAACTTCAATGAATTCACTGAAATGAAGGGTTAGGGTATCCTCACTGAATTTTTTAATCGCAGTTCAGCTGGTTCAAAACAAGAAAATTACCTTGAAAATTTCTGACATTTGATGTAACGTTTATATCCTCTGGCTGTGCAGTGTTGTTCGCCACATTGTTTTAAGTGTCACATGGTATAACCGCTGCTTTAGATATACTGAGGAAAAGACACGCTGATAAGAGCCTGGAGGAAGCTGTGGTGCTTTTTATTCTATCACAAGTTCTCTGAAAAGAAGACACAGCTGCTAGAAATTGTTTTCATGCTGATTAAAAAACCCCAAGCGAAATTCTGTCCAACATTTTAACCCTTCAGTCATTCTGGGGTCATGAACTGAAGTCACATGTTGCATCTTAACCTATTTTTTAATTTTGAGCAAAGATGTTCACTTTTACTTTTTGATTATATTTGGCAATTTTCAGTTTCCATTAAAAACAAATCAGTAAATGAAATGAATGTAATCACAAAAAAGAAAGACTTAAGAAACTGAAACCAGTTTGTGTTTATCTTCGGAAGAGTCTCAGTGCAGGAACTTAACCAGCGGTTTTCCAAAGAGATCCCATAATAAATCCAGTGGAATTATACTTTAAGCTTAAGTCACTTACCAGAGCTTAAGAGAAGCAGAGAGATGTCGAGAGAGTGACATGAAGGAATGCAGGACTGGGTCTTTTAGCTATTGTGTCTTAATACAATATGCGACTTCCTTCAGTGCCAAACACCACAAACAAACACATTCACCTATATTTGAGAGTTGAATAGCAGGCAGCGAGGCACCAGGCCCACTTCCTCTGGAGATGTAGAAGGAGGAGAGGGAGCGAGAGTGGGAGAGAGTGAGTGAGTGAGAGAGGGAGAGAGAGAGGGGGGTATAAACTACAGCTTCACACACATTTCATTTCAGTTCAGATCTCTCTGGACACAAATTGCTCCAAACTGCTGGATTGACTCCTTTTTCACTCCCCTGAATCAACTTGACTCTCTCCATCGATCCGTCTTTGTGTCAGTCTCAACCTGTCTGTCCCGAAGTTTGTCGGGTTCATCAAGTTCACGCTGACATTCAGTGACTGAGGCTGAGCAGGAACGCTCACACTCACAGCTGGAGAGTGTCATCACAGATCATCTGAATACGTGCATCTGTCAAATCTGCTGCTCCTACCTCCTGAGGATCAACTCTGAAGAGGAGGAGTGCCTGGCTTACTAGCACCTCACCAACAGGAAGAAAGCATCCATCAGTTTAACTGCAGTCTACAATCATCAGGCTATCACTGGATTAGAAGATTAATTTCTCTGTATCCTAAATCAGGTAAAGTATCTGTATGTGGCAGAGTTTTAGTTAATATCAGTTTAATATCAAAAGTGTACGCATCTTTTTCTGTTTGTATGCATTCCAGTGTTAATAATGACCACATCAGTGCTAAAAATAACCACAAAACAGCATTTTCAGACCCCAAAACCTTAAATAAGATCACAAAGAAGTGCCACAAATAAAAGGTGTGTGTGTGTGTGTGCGTGCCAGTGTGCATAAAGATAGAGAAATCTTTGAGTAAATTCTAAAATAATTAACAAATTAAACTTCTTTTGTTACTTGAGTTTGGAATTTAGTTCGTCTCTAAATGAACGCCCATGATGTTGATGGATGTGGCAGAATATTATCACGTTGACCTGTTAATATTTTCTATTCAGCTTATTATCGCATTGAAAACATCCTCATGTCTGACCGATGTCAATGATTCATCATTTATCATTGTAAACCAGCTCGAGAAAGAGGGGGCCTTTGTATATGTGTGTGTGTGTGTTTGTGTGTGTGTGTGCCCATTATCAAGACAGGATGCAGAACAATACTGACTCCACATATACACACCCAGTCTCTCTCTCACACACACACACAAAGAGAAACACACATGCATGCAAAGGTCAAGAGAAAGTCTATACAAGGAAGTAATATTGTTATTAATGATGCTGGGATCACTTGTGAAAGACATGAATGGGAGCACACAGACACACACAACACGGAGACACACACACATGATTTGTTCGAAGCTTCTGGGCTTTACAAAAACAGGAAGGGATGGGCATTTAGTAAATAAGTTGCCAAAAAAGTTGTAATCTGATTTTAAACGTTTTTTTCTGGTCAGATTTTTAAGTTCATCTTCGTTTCTCATCTGAAATTAGTGCTTCTTGCATAACAACACGTCTGAAATAGACTTTTAATATAGGTTTAATATGAGTTCCAAGTTAGGGACAAAAACATTCAGAGACATTTGCCCACTGGTTCGAGAAATGACATCAATCAAATGACAGAAGGGTGAGAAATTTGGCATGTAAAGCAGTCCCACTCCACCCAGAAATGCTCTTTATTGTTCCCCCTGTTTTGGAAGTCTGTACAGAGTCTGGTACTCATCAGAATCACATTTCGTGTAACATCAGAATCCATAATCCAAATACCTAGGTATGTCGTCATCAGTTACCTTGTCTGTGTTTCCTTTTTATTATCTT